CTTCGCTAGGCGGCGGTTGTGAGCTCATTGCACACAATGGATGGGAGTCGAAAGAACAAAAGAACAAATAGAGAGTGCAAACGGCTGCGGACATAGGCGATATACAACACATGTGGTTGGTAGATGGGAGTTGACTGGAAGGAATCAAATTGAAGTGTACAGAGCAATAGAAAGGCTGTGTCGGAAAAACCGAGCACGTTTTTGCTACTGCTATGAGAAGCTGGCTCGGTGTGAAACAACGGGGATGGCGGTGCTAGCCTCAGGGCTCATTGTCAGCTAGCATATTGGTAGCCGCTGCAGCAGCCGCGCGGCGCGCAATCCGCAGGATGGCGGTGGTAAGTTGGTTGGCCTGTTGATCGGTGAGTGGAAGTTCTGGTAGTGGTGGGAGTGGCGGAAATAAAGCAGGTGGAGCGGGTTGTGGTGGTGGTGGAATGCCGTGTGTGGGGAAAGCTGGAGGAGGTGCTGGACACGGTGGTGCTGCTGGAGTGGAGGAGGAGCGGTCCATATTGGAGTCCAAGTATCGGAGGATGTTGTTCGAAAAGTGAAAGGGCATAATGTGGCCGTTGTGGTGCGGTCTCGGGATCCGCACTTGGGTTTGTCGGTGCGTAGGCAAAGGAGGCGGATGGATCGTGTCTGGCTGTGGGTGGAGGAGAGAGGGAGCAAGAGCTGGTGGTGGAACGGTGGTGGCGGAGGGAGGATCCTGATGTGTGAAGAGCCGAAGGGGTGGCTGACCCGGACGTGCTTTCTTGAGGATAGGGACATTGGTCATGAGAAGGACCGGGTCTTCACTGCTGGTGGTGGGGGAAGGGGATGGAGGTGGTGGTTTGTGGGTGGCTCCAGTGGCGGAGCGTGCCGTGCGTGTTCGGTGGGTGGTGGAGCGCTTGGGGGGAGACGGTGCTCGAACCGGGGGTGTTTTGGGAGGCGGAGGAAGGCCACCTGCTGTCCGCTGCGGACATCTGCGTTCCCAGAGCCGGGGAACATGGACATACACCCGTTCGACGGGTCCACGGGAGGCACTCTGCGGGCTCATCCCGGGTTGGCACGAAGCCAAACACACTCATGGATATGCGTACTGATGTGAATGCGGTGCCACACGCCGGCCTAGGGTTCCACTTCCTAAGAAAACCAGAAGGGACCATCGAATCCTGGAGGTCTTAAAAGGAAAGGTGGCCCAAAGCGCAAGATCGAGGTCGACATGCAGTTTGAGGTTCTTGGCTTAGCCTCACGCCATGCAGAAACTGGAAAAGTTGCAGGTACGTCGACAGGACGTCTCCCGTCGATATCACGAGCAAGAGATAGGTGTCTTCGTTGGCACCTGCCCTATCTCTGCTCCAGGTGCCCCCTTCCATAATGTAAAATGAAAACTAATCCAGACGGATCCCTATGACTCCAAGGGTTACACACACACACACACGCACTAACACCATGTAAACAAAATGTGAGAGAAGCATATGACTTGCTAGCAACGTCACGAAGGGGGGAGGGGTGGCTTAGTGGTGATTCATTCACTTGATAGCCGATTCCAGCCCCCAACTACAAACTTGCCAAAGCAAGAGGAACTCCAGCTAGCTGACGCTAGCTTTCGTGACCTGCTGTTTAGATCTTTTTATCCGGCAGGCTTGCTTCAAGCCTCACCAGCTCCGAGTCAACCAGCCACTCCAAGTTTCCTGCTGCCACAGGCGGCCACGGAGCGACACATGGAACCTGCTGGTTCTTCAAGGTTTGCTCCTCGGAGCGCAGTTCATCATCTAGGCTGGCGAGTTCGGCCAAGCGCAGAACCAATACCTTAGTATCAACCAGCACGTGAGTTCCGCTAGGCATGCAGAATAGCCGGTCTCTGAACTGAGCCAAACACGGGTTCCATATGTGCCTGAAGAACTCAAAGTCACATAAAAAGCCAAGACCTACGAGCTTGGTGATCTCAAGAGTGGTGCCGGAGTCGTCTGCAAGTCTGCCCTGTCAGCCTTCACGAAGGCGTTAAACCATAGCGGCCAGCGGCGCCGAGGGGGGAAGTCCTCCTGAGCATCCTGGCTGGGGCATCTTGTGCTGAGCGGGTGCAAAAACCAAGCCCTAGAACTGATGCCACAAGGACATTCTGTGCAAAGCATAATCCAAAGCCAGTTGATGCTTTGGCAATTTTTGACAGAATGCCGTGACTTTTGATGACAGAATGCCTTCCAATAACCCTTCGCCTCCAAAAGGCCCCGGAGCTCGCCCCGGTGCAGTTGCCGGCGCTGGGTGGGTGTGCCATGAATCAGAACAAGGCCACCGGCCTGCAAAAAGGATCCAACGATCCCGCACTTGTTTATCTTGTCTCTCTTTTTGGGTTTTGGTTGATTTGTCGTTGGTCCATAATTTTTTGCTGCTCGTTTTTGATACCAAAGCAAGCAAAAAGTCAAACGTGGCGGAAATACCACAGGATTGATGCTGCCCATCGCCTGGCCGAACGCTGAAACCACACGTGGAACATGCAATACAAAAAATGTGGGTCTGAACTGGGAGTGGGATGTGGAATAAACTTTGAAGAAATTCGATGACACATGTGATGTGGAATGGGAGCATTCGGCATGATTTGACCTTTTTTTTGTGTCTTTTTTTTGGGGGGGAGGGGTGCACACAACGACTGAACAACTGCCGCTTTTTCTCTGGAACCCAAGTTGTCCGAGCAGTCAAACGCCACAGTCATGGGCCTCAGCAAAAAATTTAAGAGACTGCAAAAATACTTCCATGAGTGACGTCGGACAACTTCAACCACATTGTTCATCATGTCTGCAAGGCAGCTTTTGAACGCTGTGCCGCTCGCAGCATCTCGCAGCAAAGGGCAAGGAGGACACAGTTTGCGTATCCAAATGCATCTAGGAGCTGCAGCTTCATCCCATGGAGGCAAACAAACCGCCCAAACAAATAATTGTTGAAGCTCCCGCGATTCCAAATGAAGCTGTGCACTTCTCTACTTCGAGCTTGACATGGAGGCGGTGGCATTTGCCATCCGCGCCGGAAACGACTTTCTGATGCCTTGATGTTCGGTGTTGACCAGATTGGTGTGCGTGTGTGTGTGTGTGTGTCCACTCCTGTTTCCAAGGACACTACTCTAGTACTTTTCTAATCTACCCTACGAGCCTTTCAACCACTGTACAGAAGCAGGGGGCACGGCGGCCGTTCACCTAGCCGTGCTAACAAAGCTATGGTGTTCGGTTGGAAGAGATACTGGACGCAGTATCTTGTACCTGCTATTTTTAATTTTTCACTCATTGATGCTTCTAAGTCAGTTCAACGCTGTCTCATACGTTGATTTTGCAATAAAGTGCTAATGCTCTCGGCTAATGCTGTACCTAAATGTAAAGGGCTAATGCACACCGCGAAGCAGCCTGAAATCACGCTCCACGGAGCAACCTTCTCAAGTGTGCTTTCGCAGCTTCTTCCCACTGTGGTAAGCTGTGTGATCCCTACGGGGCGCCGTTACCGCAAGAACCTGATCACTCCTCACCGAGGGAGTAAGTTTCCTGAATTTTCTCTGAAGTCCCTTTGACTGAATCTTACCTGCTCGAAATCAGCTTGGATCGTCTCACCCCGCACATGTGAAGATTACTGCAGAGTTCACTGAAATCCTTTCTGAATCTCACTGCAGAGTTAACTGAAAATGTTTCACCCGGAAATCCATTCCTTTCAAATCCTTTTAACTTTTCAAGTTTTAATTCAATTTTTCCAGAGTTTAATTGCGGTCAGTCAATACACTTCACAACTTTTTCGACCTCACGGACCTCTATTTATTTTCATACATACATACATATTTTGACTGTCTTTGACTTGCCGAGCAGCCATGACGTATCCCTGGCCCTATTCTCTGCCGCCACACATCCATCAACAACCACAACCTACACAACCCCATTGGATTCAATATCCACCACAAGCTTCACCACAACCATTTCCAACACTGCCACCGACTCCACCACAACACCCAACCTCACATCACTATCCATTGCCCACTCCACCTCCACCTCATGCTCAATACATCCAACCACATCAATTACAGGCACATTTTCCAGTACAACCCACGGTTCCTTTCGACACTACCCAACTTGCGCAACAACATCCGCATCTCACAATACAACCACCACAATCCCAAGCTCACACACATCCCACATTGCCACTTCAATCTCAACCTCAACCACCACCTCTACCTCCTCAACCACATCTATCACATCAACTACATCCATCACCACACACGACAAATCAAACCCCAGCCACACCATCACTTCAACCACCACCACTACAATCACCAGATTTACCACAAGCACGAGCACCTGATCCAGCAACAATCACTTCACAACAGCTGGCCACACCAACTCCACCACCATCACCTCACACTTCAACAGCCCCACCAGCGGCTACTCAACCTGCTTCAGCATCCATCACCACACCCGCACAGCCTCCGCCACCACACCACATACCACGCACTACCAAGCCAACACCATCCATTGCACCCACACTCAGCACTACAAGAGGTATTTGGCGCGACCCAGATCGCTCACCACCACGCACACCTGAACATCACCGCTATTCAGCCTTTCCAGCCGTTCCCACCATTGCACCATCACAAGCTACATCCAGATCCAGGAGCCGCACTCGCTCACTACGCACTACACGCTCTCCACTACCACGACGTCGAAGCTCCGCCACACAATCCGTGGCTAGTTCTCAACCACAATCCAAGCCTGCAGATAGACAAACATCACCATCACCAGCAATCACCCAAGACAATGCTCACACCTCCAGACAAAACATCACTACCGCTACCACTGCAAAACACACTCCAGAGTCAACTCACCGTACTTCCAGCATTACACTCAAACCCAACCCACATTTCACACCCAAACATTCCACAAAACAGACACTTACACCGCCACCACCAGCACCATCACCTGCAGTTCCAGTACAACGTCGACCTCACAACTTGCCTCCTCCAAAATTCCAACCACCCACTGATCCAGCACAATTGGATGTCTTCCAATGGCTCAACCGCTACGCACAAGCACTTGATGTCAAAAATGAACCCATGATCTCCTACGTAGCCAAGGTACTTAGTGCAGCTCATCTCAATAGCACCCACTTTACCGACCTACAACTTCTCACACACACAAAATGGAGCGACGACACCAACAAAGAAGAACATTACTCATTCCTACTACTCACAATCCCCACATTAGCGAGCAGGGGCGACGCCCCGATCCTTCCTCCTACACGGAGAGAGGCGCTGAACATACCACCTATAAAGCACATTTTTGCGGCACACGTTAGCGAGGAGGGCAACATCATTTCAATACTTGAAGCAGGAGAAATCGTGCGATCCATTCTACATGATGATCACAACGTGGGCTATTTTTGTCAGGCGTTCGAACTGTCGAACTACGAGCCCCACGATGCTGCTGAAGCTGCACGCGTCCTCTTCAATGCTTCCAATATGGCCAAGAACCGTAGCGGCCTCATTCTGACGATCAAAGCCTATGGACACGGCCAGAAAGTCACTCATGGTGGCGAATCCGCAGCGAACGACTTGCTGCTCAGAGGAGAAGGGATTGTAAAATACACCCCAGGAAAATGCTGGGTGGCACATCCCAAACATTCCAGAATAGAAGGGATAGCCTGGAAAAGCGATGCAAAGCCACCGCTCAGTTTCATTTAATTCAACCTATTCAGCTCACGAGGTTCTTTTTCACCCCATATCTCGGATGACGACCTAGCCTCAAATAATCTCAGCCGGCTTGCCTGATTTTGATATTGATTTTGGTTTTTCTAACACTTCGATGCCAACTTCCTTTTCTTCCAATATCTCATTCCTGTACAGCTTGATGCCGACAACATGATGATCTTCTTCACGGTCACAATTTTTCCAATTTTTCCAGACTTACAGCATGTCAGCATTCCTGGTTGATATTAAACATTTCGAAGAGAGTCGCAAGCATTTCGAAGAGAGTCGCAAGATTTCCTGTTTTTGCATCCTGCCCCGCAGCCATTTTGTATTATCTTGAATATTGAGCTCGATCCCTGACAACCACCCGCGCTATATTTGCTTCACGACGAGTATCACGACGATGACTTCACCTTTGGACACAGCATTTGCCCATCGACTCCTTTTAGCACACCTTCAAGCAGCCACCTCTATTGCCACCACTTTTCAAAACCTTCCACCATTCACACCGCAACCACCACAACATGCACATCACCCACTCACTACCACTCCACCTTCTTCCCAAAGACCAGCCAGACGCACTCCTCCACCACCGCAGCCACAGCCGTCTTATTCACGCAGCCGCAGTCCACCTCCCACCACAGGCAAACCTTTCATG